CTTAAATGGTCATCAAATGTACATGTGAAATACGTTATCCAGACAGAACGTCTCTCACTCCTGAATCTGACTGCCTTTAGACTTGAAAAATCTAGGCTATGCTGTGTTCAACACACACTCAGGCACATGGACCTGCACTGCTTCAGTTACATAATGTTTATGTAGGTGCCCTCGCTAGCCGACAAGCTTTAGCGGCCCCCCACGACTCCCCCACGACTCCCTGTCTCTTTCTCTCTCCACATGTGCGTCCACTGATCTGGCCTACTTCCACCCCAGCTTAAACACACGCCATTCTTCAGCTACCTACGAGAACAAAGAGGAAACAGCGCGATTTCAGCAGAACGTTTCAGCTGAGTTACCACAAGCGCTGAGTCAATCGGGTCGAGAAAGTATAGAGACATAACTCAGTAAAATGCTGATGCTTAAAACTCCACATGACGCAGCATCAGCTGTATTGTTTCCATGCACAGTGTAGGCTACTGTCTCTGCAATCAAGAGCTCTTGTCGTTTTACTGAATGAGAGAATAACATGTTGCTTGGCAACAACAAAGTAGCCCTTTGCTCTGGTTACTTAACGACCAATTAAAAAACAGCATGTTATACAAACGTCACTGATTTGAAGAGAGGTAAACTTTCCATCAGTCTCCTAAGGAGGTGATTAATACGCCTACTTAAATATATCAGGGCTGCAGTCCTCGACTTTGATATGGACAGTAATGTGCATTTATGTACCGAGAGTACATTAAATGACCATTTCATAACCTCTCTTTATCTGTTTGAATGAAACAGGCCTGATTTAAACAGCAGTCTGGGTTGAAACACTCCTTATAACTTCAACATGAATAGGGTGGGGCTAAACTGATGTAGGCTACTGTACATATTGGGTTGCCTTTGCAGCTTAGTCTCCACATAAGGAACATATGAACTGGTGAGTGAATGTTACTGTTTTGAACTTAAATGCTTGTATACTACATCAAACTTATCTTCGGAAAGCAAGGAAGCTATTTTTTTCCATGATACGGATTCTTTAAATTATTTTTTTACAAAATGTTTTTTTTTAACATATTTTCATCTTCATTTTCAGAATATTTATGGCTACATATATTTGACATATTTAACGGACTTTAAATGTTTGCATACATTGTAAATATATATTTTGAAAACATTTAACAAATATGTTGCTTTTCCACATAGAATGAATATTGACCCCTCCTCCTAACTGCCCACTGCATCCCTGACTACTTTGACATATTTAATGGACTTTAAATATTTGCATATATTCTAAAAATATATTTAAAAACATTGTTTTTCTATTTGGAGGCAGTCGTGGGCTGAAGGTTAAGGGAACCAGCCCTGTGACTGGAAGGTTGCTGGTTCAATCCCCTGAGCCGACAGTATGTGACTGAGGTGCCCTTGAGCAAGACACCTAACCCCCCAACTGCTCCCTGGGTGCTGTGGTTAGGGCTGCCCACCACTCTGGGCAAGTGTGCTCACTGCCCCCTAGTGCCCATGTGTTAAACAGATAAGGCCCACCACACAATCCCATCCGGCCCACAAAAGTATTTTAATTTTCTACTGATATTAGCCCATTTCATAATTTGCTGCACTACAGTACCCAGCATGCACTGCAATGTAACTCCTTCAGTATCAGTATCATTAACTTTGACTCTCCTACCCCAACAACAGTCTATGGGACATCGGTTACACCTTTATTTTTGGGGGTTCTACGCAGTTCTACACAATTCCACACCAGTCGTATCACCAAATACACTAACAGCATTTCAGCTGCAGTTTAATCAATATAAACACTTAACTTTAGCTCAGCAGCTCAGAAACTGAGCCCACGTATTAATGAACTTGCAAGAAAGAAAGGATGTCAGGGGTCTAATTCAAGCAGATGAGCAGGTTTAAAAGACGGAGCTCTTGGGAGCATTTAAATTTTGGATATTTCAAGTATTCATGTAATATTTCAAGATCTACTACAAGTGTCTGTATTTTACTGATTTTGCATATTTTGAATAAACAATGGCCAGTTCGGGTTACAGCACAACACTAATAAAAAACGAGAAACAATGTTTTTTCTCTGGCCCACAGATTTAATGAGATTTTTTATTATCGCCCTTTTACTGGTTGAGTTTGACACCCCTGCCCTAGTGTGTGTGTTCACTAGTGTGTATATAGTGTTTCATTGCATGGATGGGTTAGATTGTGGAGGTGAAATTTCCCCGTTGTGGGACTAATAAGTGTCACTTAATCTTAGTCTTAATTTAATATTTAACCCCCCACCCACCCCCAACTGGTCACTGTATCCCTGCTGAAGATGTTGGCTATTTTTCATGCTACGTAAAGGCTGTGGCACCTCTGAGGCGTGATAGGATTGTGATGTTAAAGGTCAAATTGATTGAAACAGATAAAGAATAAAGAGAAAGAAAGCTCATCACAGGCCTCACTGAACGGATCTATACTTTCATTTATCACCTAATTGTTTCCCGGTTAGACTGACAATCAAGATAATCTAATGACATTGTTTCCAGAGTGTTAACACAAGATTTCGCCTGAATTCCGAAAGCAGGACAAAACGAAGTCTGCGCAAATCTTTCTTCAGGGTGGTGTGGTCTGCGTTTGACTCGTCAGAGAGAGAGCAGACACTGTTCCAACGGCTAGATCTAACAAGCGTCCTCTACTACAAAGTGCCTTTAATCTAGGAAAGAGAAGAGATGGGGGCGAAGGGGGAGAGGGGGAGACACTCTTTCATCAGCAAAGGCCAGCTGCTCCTGGGGACAGCAGGATGGTAGAGGATTACTGGCCCCTGGTGGTGACATGCGGCTTTGCTTCAGTAGCAAGAGCAAGGCTGTGTTTGTGTAGGTTTGGGTGCATTAATGAAAAGCCTATTGATTTGAAGTATTGATATTAAGAATTGACATGTCAAACTTAACATCTGCCACGGTCAGTTTTCTAGATGTCCTTTCTAAATCATGCAAAAAAAGGCAGATAAATAAAATAATTATTACATGAAAGCATGATTAGAGTGTCATCTAGTGGTCAAATACAGGAATAATATGCTACACACACACTATATGGCCAAAAGTATGCGGACAACTGACAGTCAAACTACGCTTGCTGGACATCCAGTTCCAAAACCATGTGTTGCCCTAAAAGAACAATTGTGAGGTCAGGCACTGATGTTGGGCAAGAAGGCCTGGCTCCCAATCGACATTCCAGTTCACCCCAAAGGTGTTCAGTGGGGTTGAGGTCAGGGTTCTGTGCAGACCACTGGAGTTCCTCCACACCAAACTCATCAAACCATGTCTTTTTAGATCTCACTTTGTGCACAGGGGCTCAGTCATGCTGGAACAGGAAAGGCTCTTCCCCAAACTGCTGACACAAAGTTGGAAGCATATCGCTGTTGTCAGAAGAAAAACTCGTATCTCCAAAATGGTAACTTTACAGTAGGAGGAAAAAACATACTCTACTTTTAATGTAAGTCAATGGAAGCAGACGTCAAGTAATTTTGGGCCGTTTCTTTTGGTCCATTCATCATGAAATTTACAGACAATGTAAAGGACAACAGGCATTTTTAAATTCTGTCAAAAACTCAAAAAAGATACAAGATTTTCTTCCGACAGCAGCGATATAATGATCTGAAATGTCTCTGTATGCAGTGGCATTAACATTATTCTACACTGGAACCAAAGGGCTGAGCCCATCCCTAAGAAAACGGCCCCAGACTACTATTATCCCCCCTCCACCAAACTTTACAATGCATTCATGTAGGTAGCGTTCTCCTGGCATCTGCAGAAGTCAGATTCATCCATCAGACTGTCCTATAGTAAAGCATGATTAATCACTCCAGAGAGTTTCCTTTGCTTTGAGTCCAGTGCCAGCATGCTCTACACCACTCCAGCCAACGCTTGGTTTGATCTAAGGCTTGTGTGCAGCTGCTTGGACATGGAAACCAATTTCATGAAGGTCTTCATGCACAGTTCTTGTACTGATGTCGCTTCTGGAGGCAGTCTGGCACTTTAGTAGGTGATGCAACAGAGAACAGGCATTTTGTACGTGCTTTGTACTTGCTTGCATGGTCTACGTCTTCCTGGCTTAACTGTTGTGGCTCCTAGATGCTTCCATTTTACAATCATAGCACTTACAGCTGCCAGGGGCAGATCTAGCAGGGCAGAAATTTAACAAACGGGCTTGTGGCAAAGGTGGCGTCCTATGACAGTGCTGCGTTTAATGTCTCTGAGCTCTTCAGTACGACCCATTCTACTGCCAAGACTATGTGATTGATTTTATACACGTTAGCAATGGTTGAAACACCTGAACTCAATAATTAGGAGGAGTGTCCACAAACTTTTGGCCATACAGTGTATAAACTCCACAACTCTTCTCCCCCGTTTGTGAGACCCCTGCAAGTCAACTGCTCCCCAAGAAATAACCTGACCCAGTTTTTCAAAATGGCCATTTATTTTCCCCTCTTTCTTTGTTTTTCTCTTTTTTGTAAAAGAAAACTTAAATACTGCTAGATTTATCTTTTACACAATTATTTCCATAAAACATTTTTTTTCAAATTTTTATAAATTAAAATCATATATTTGTGCATGCAGTTTTGCATTTCCCTCAGTAATTTTTCAACTTTCACAAAAAAAGAAAAAAAAATGAACACTTTTTTTTCTTTTCAGAGTTCAGATGGAGCCGGAAGAGGCGGTGGGGGGGGGCAGGTAGTTGGAGCAGGATGCTGGGAAGGGATAAAGAATGTTTCCGGATGAACAGAGAACTTCCATCTGATTGTCTCAAGCAGCGAAGTCGGAGATGAATCATCAGTTCGGTTATGGGTCAAATGGGTGTCGACTCTCGATCCGTTTTTGTTCATTCATCCTCAGTTACAGTATTAACAGAGAAGCATGCTCATAGACAACTGCATACAGAATGTACTTGTTTGAATACTTCTTGCAGTCCTAAGTTTTTTTTTCCAAAGATTTTTTTCTTCTTCTTTTAAAATCTTAAAGCACAATCTAGCATAAATCAATGAGACGGGGGATATGCAGGAGAAGATCCATGGTTTGGCAGGGAGTTAGGTTCTTGACTTGCAAGTTCCTTGGTCATTCATGCTTATACCTTTGTGTACATTTCCCTCACGCCACGTTCAGGTAGAATGGCGGAATGGACCCGACCTCAGCTTTACCAGCTGAGGTATGACTGCTGTCTACCTTTTGCCAAAGCCAGAGATCAGTGCATGTCACAAGAATGCTGAAGAACTTGCTACTCTGTTGATGCAAATCAACCAGAAATTAAGTGTGAAGGCCTGTTTAGTGCCTTAAGGAAAATCTTTGTTGGCATCCAGCACCCTATGAAGAATATACAATCCCACTAACTTGCCCTTTCTAAAGTGCCCTGGACTGCATCTGTTCTGAGGTCTACTTGTGGTGATTATCTGAACTATGAGATGAGTAAAGCCTAAAGAGCGATGTCACCTACATGTACTGTAAACTAGCTCAGAGCAACACTACTTACTGTTCACCAGCAGATTCTGGCTGGTGTGCGTTTCTTGGTTAAGCAGCCATTCTAAATAGCAGGTAATGGTCTATGCTGAGAAGGCCATCGAGGCCCTGGAAGCTATGAGGCAGCGCTTTCAAAGAAGTTACCCTTTCTCTCCTGAATGAACACATTAGTGCGAAGTACGTAGAACTGCACAGGTTAGTAGTGTACTATTGTGTGCTGCACCGAGCAGCGGCACAAAAGCTGAATGAATCCTACTGTATAAAAAATCCCTTTCGTCATCAAAAGATCCAGAGGCTTCGGAAGACTCTAAGACCCTGGTCTTACAGAATTCTATCTGCTCTCCATTAAGTATAACAAAATATCACTGGCAGTGGGTTGGTATATTATCAATATAAGCCTGACTGTACTATCAGAGGTGCTTCTGTGATGTACTCAGACACGTCACAGTCGCATCCAGCGTTGCGTGTTCATAGGTCAGTAATGGCTGAGGGAAGCATGTGTTAAGACAGCGTGCCAGTAGCAACGCACACACAGACTTGACTGATCTGTTCTGGGGGTGATTTCGTGTGCGTTTGTTTACTTTCCAGCAATGGATTTCAGGGCTATCACTCTGGTGTATTTTTGGCTGGGAAGAACTCAGCTTTTAGCAACAGAACCAACGTATAAACAAGGAAATAAACGATCAAGAGAAAGCATGAATGGCGGAGCAGTCTCTCCTCCATTGGAGGTCCGGACTGTCCTTCTTCTCTTAACACACACTTCGAGTCACGTTTGCAGATGGAGACGCAGGCTTCGGTCACATGACTTGGGTTCGGGGGGAGCTTATGACGTCCACTCTGACGCCAGAGGCCCTACCGAAAAAATAAATAAATAAATATAACGCGATGGAGGATGAGAACGCACGCCATCTTGGCTCTGGTCGCACTGCAGCTCAGGCCTGAACGGTGAAACTGGGCAGGGAAAGGGTCAGGGCTGGGGGCTCAGAGCCTGTGGCGGGAGTCCTGGCTGTAGCTACCTGGGGAACTACGATTGCGGTGGGGCTTGTAGCTGTCCTGGTACGGGTCCTGCTGCTCGTCCATGTAGTGGTGGTCTCGGCCGCCGCTGCCTCCGTGCTGTGAGCCAGATGAGCCGCGGTTGCGGCCCTTGTGCGCCCGCTCATTGTGGTAGTTCTCGTCGGAGGCCATCAGGTTGCGGCGCTCGTTTGGTGTGGAGTGGTCACCGGTGTGGTTGGCATGCCGTGTTCTTTGGCCCTGCTGGTTCTAAGAGACACAGAACAGGACAGTTATTTTAAATGGGGTGTCAACTCAGTTGCAGATATTAAAAGCATGTCAGTGATTATAAAGATATTTGATAATTCTCCATAAATTAAAAGCTAGTGAAAAGCTAAAGCAAAAGTGAAAAAACTCAACTTCTCTGCCTTATAAGGACTGTATTGGCAACAAAAACAACCTGACAGCAGCAACCTTTAATTTTCTGGTAAAAAACTTTAAATCTATATGAGATATCAAGTTACAGATGTCTGCTGATTTGCATCAGGTTACACAAGCCTATTGTCCCTTTGTTAGGAAATCTCTGGTTCGGTTTTGTGCTCTATATTTCACACATGCTCACACTGTACTTCATGCGGCGTTTCACATCAGATTATATTAGGCTGGCAAGCGCATGTGAGTGTTTTCAAGTCGTTCTGCGTTCTTGTGTGGACAGAGAGATTTTTAAAAACAATGTTGGCATGGACAACGATTTTTTTTATTTTTATTTTTTAAAGTATTTTCCGAAATATATAAAAAATGTGGACAATGCCTTAATAATCTACTTAAACCATGAAGCAATAACATTACTACCTCTATCATTCAACAGTGTAGACATCCTACTTGCTAATGTAGTATTTATTGAGACAAGTACAGAGTGAAAATTGAAGTAACTGAGAATGTCTGTTTGTGAGCTCCCTGACCTGCAGAGCAGAGATGGTGGACGGGTAGGGGGCAAGGGCGGCAGGGCCGAGGTTTCGGCCCAGAAGTGGGTTTAACGGGGTGCTGCTGGAGGTGTGGGTGGCCTTCCAGTATGCCTCGAGATACTCTGCCAAGTGTTCACACGCATCCTCCAGCTGATTCTCGTCCAGGATGATGTCAAACATCTCCTGTTGGATTGAGAAAGAAACAGTCGGTTATGACAGGAAAATATGACTGTAATTATGTAATTATTGTGTTAGTGCTCATCTATGTTAGTCTGTTAGTGTACTGGTGTACTAATTAGTGTGTAACCTATTCATCATTAGACACAGGACTGCCGCTGACCAAACGTTGTTACTGGAGTTTGGACATACGTCAGTATCACTGTTAGGTTAAGAGTAATCTGCCACCCAAAAATACCTAGCTTAGAGCAGCTTTGTGTTCAGGAACTGACCACTGATGAAGGGCTGGAGGACAATTAACACAAACAATGCATCTACAGATGAGCTACAGTTTCAGCTGTGTATAACTGTATATGTACGTATGTGAGATTGAAATAACACACCGGTGGGCACTGTGCGAGTTTATCGGCTGCTACAAGCTGCACATTGAGATGTTTACTCTGAGACTTTCCTCTGGATTTGATCAGCCTCTGGAGGACCTAAGAGCAAAGAAAGATTTTCACACACTCGGTAACTGCGCAGCACAGCAGAGAATCACCACAGTTTAGAAATAGCTCTGTCTCTTATGTTATTTATGGTGATTCTATTATGGTTACCAGAGTACAATGGCCACTGTTGTTGATTTCTGAAGAAACAATTTCATTGCTCTGCATTCAATTGCTCAGCTCATACTTTTACGGGCTATGTGTGTGGGCTGTGAGTACCTTTGGCGAGGACACTTTGACGTGGACGATGATGGGAGCTAGTGAGGTTTTCATCAGCTGAGCGGGGTGGTTAATGGTGTCTGCATCCAGCACTACCAGCTGCAGAGAGCGGGCCAGCTCAAAGATACGCTCAATCTCACTCTGCACTTCAGCTACACACAAACGCACAGGGTGAAAACGCACAACTTTAGTTGTTCAAATATAATCAAACACTGACAATACAAAGAGTATGACAAGTATGATAAGTTAATGACCATATTGTTGACACACCAGAAAAACTGTAATGAACTGTATCACTGGAAATGTTATTAGCAGTATTTGTCCTTTGCAAGTGTCTTACCAAGACTGGATCTGGTGTTAGAGCGTTCAATGATGGCTCTCTTGCTGGGGTTATTCAGCACAGATCTCTTAGCCAGGGAGATGTCTGCAGTCACACGGGTGATGGATATCCTACAAAGATTAAAAACCTTTGTGGTCTGTGTGGTCTTGTGTTTGTGGTTTTATTAAATTTCCCGTCTACCGACTAAAAATTCATGGAGCTGGTTTCCCAGAGAAGGACTAAGCCTAGTCCTGTAGTACACAGCATTTTGAAAGGAGATTCTCCAGTGAAAAGAAAATGTAGTCAAAGACTTTAAAGGCTTTAAAGACCCATATCCTTTATTTTTCTTGAGTTCTATGCACTAAAACAGTCTTAATTCATTTTTACATGCCAATTTTCCAACCTTTCTTTAGCCCTTAAACTTAATAAGGCTGTTTTTGTTATATGTCATTTATGTAAATGACCTCTGGTCCGACTGGCTACCCTCAAACAAAAACAGTTTGGGTTGAAACGCTCCTTATAACTAAAGCATTAATGGCAGAGATAACCTGTTGTAAGCTGACTAGGTGAATATGTAAATGCTTTGGCTTTTACGACATCGTGGTGAATCTTTAACAGTCTTTCCATAACACATTAAAACATTTTACACAATACATTATTTCCAAAAATGAGGGAAATAAGTTTTTCTATGATCTTCATCTGGGAAACCAACAAACAACCCATGGTGTCTTAAATTGAATCTGTGATTGCCTACTTGAACTTGCTACTCCACTCACCTGCCATCAAACCTGTGCTTCAGGAAGTCAAAGAGAGCCTTTTGCATCATATCAGTAACCTGCATCACATAAAATAAACGTAAGAGGCGTCTGACAGTGGAAAATGCAAAGAAGACTTTTACAGAAATGTTCTTCGACAGTGCATTTTAGTCTTTGTTATTTTTCTGGAGATTATGTTTGTCCTACAGTTTAATATCCCTTAAGCAAGACATGGGTCTAGACATATCTGACACACTATTACTCACAGTCTCTGTCACTTTTGCTTTCTTCCACCCTCTGCTGAATTTTCTCTCTCTCTCTCTGTTTCCCTCCCTCTCATTCTGTCTGTCGACTTCTCATTCATTCAGTCTTTTTTTCTCCCTTTCTCTCTGTCCCTGGCCCCATCTCTCGTTTCTTCTTTTCGTTCTTCTGTCTTCCTTTACATCTCTCTCCCCCTCTCTTTCTAATTTCAAACCTTGCTCTACTTTCTACCACTGACGTCTCTTGGACCCCGGAAGGTTGTTGCCATGGCAACCGAACGGCGGAGAGGAGGAGCGTGTTTTTGTTTTGTCCATGCAAGTAGATGCAGAGAGGAGAACAGATTTGGTGTTCTCTGTATCTTACAAACACAGACGCAATGACACAAACACGTATGAGAAGAAAAAACCAAGACAGGCTCAAGGCCTTTACACAGAAAATCTCCAAAATCAGGCCGTGATGAAGCCGTGCATCTACCCACAGCCGTTTATTTATATTTAATGTTTTTGTGCTTTTTCAAGTATGTTAAAAGAAGGGAGACAAAGGTTCACATAGTCACTCTGAATATCACATACATTATATTAAAATGTGAGAAAAGAAAACTGAATGTAAAAAAAAATCTGAATTAAAGATTATTTAGGATTAAACCTACAAACAAATTCGTTACCTCATATCCTTTTAGGGATGGGCCAACGAGCACCACAGGCCTCATGGAGGGAACGACATCATAGGGGGCCACATGCTCAGTCTGAAAAAGAGTCACATGCCAGTTACCAGACAAGTTATCAATACTCTTAGTTCAATGTGTCAAACAGCAACCGCAGCAGTATTCTTCTGTGATGACAACAGATATATTAGAGATCTATGAAGACGATGACATCATTTCATACATGGTGACATGGAGCCAGTTGGCCATCACACTGGTACTCTCCCTGTGCACGCTGCTGTCTATGTGTAAACCATGTGTCAAACACAAGGCCCGTGGGCCAAGTCAGGGCTGTGACACAGTCCTATTCGGCCCGCAAAATTACTTTCATTTTCTATTATTATTAGCCCGTTTCACTCTGAGATGCACTACAGTCCCCAGCATGCACTGCAACATAATGTGCGTTCTGACCCTCAACAGCAATCAACGGGCCAGTGGTTACACGAAAAGAAAAGATGCCTATCTTGTTGAAGTTTTGTCATATTTTGAATAAACAATGGCCCGTTCGGGTCATGGCAAAATGTTACTTAAAATTGAAATTTTAAAAAAAGCTGGCCCACAGATTTGCTGGGATTTTTTAATATAGCCCTTTTAGTGGTGGAGTTTGACATCCCTGATGTATAATGTAAATACACTGCCAAAAATGCAGACATGGAACACATATGCAAAGCAGTGTGCACCTAAGAGCACTGTTCAAAACCACCATATATCATTAGTGTTTTTTCCTGTAAAACCACCATATATCATTAGAATAAACGCAAATAAACATAACACACAGTAAAATGTAACAGTAGAAGATACTTTGTGAGTTAGTTTGAAGAATAAAGTTTCCCGATGGCTCCTCAACACCTCCAGCCTTTTCAAGAACTTTTTAACCTTGATTACCAACATACTTGACTTAACATAATGACAGATTAATTAGCCAAAAGAGGTGTTGGATGATATATAAAGTAATACTAGGTTTTCCTCAGAGGAAAGGTTTAAACAAACATATTAATGTATTGTCATTGTCCAAAAAACAGGCTTTTTTTTGTATTTTTGTTTTTCTATATTACCTGTACACAGCAGCTGTTGTTAACATGGTCGAAAAAAAGACTAAATAACATTAGCATGTGCATGCACTGCCGAGAGTCACACAAAGAATAGTTATCTAGACCATTTTCTCTGCAAACATTAGCTAGCTGTGTTAACGTGCTATTTTTTGGCAAGATTTTGATCTAGTTTATTTTCATTTTCAAATTAAAAAATGTCAGACAGAAACAAAAATACCTTCAGCTTCATCACATCTTAAAGTGAACCTAAAGTCAAAACGGACTTTTTTTTTACCTTGTTTGTTCATACAAAACTTAATTCTTCAAATCTCGTCATTTAAAAGACAAAATTCTTGTTTTTCTGTAATTTACCATCAAAATGACTTCTGTAATGTATAACGTCTATAATATATCAACCAATAATATCATGTTTCACTTCTTTGACTACAAAGAAAAATATAATCACCAGAAAAAAAATCAATGCAAGTCTATGATGTACATTAACGTCTGGGGAGTATGTGCTGCTGGAGTGGTGGCTTCAGTAATGCTCCCTTTGTCAGCTATATAGGTCTATAATATGCATATCTATGCTAAAGACCAGCATAACACCATCGTAATGTCAGCTCAGAAATGTACATTTGTGCTTTGAATGTCCAGATGCTTAGAGATGATCACTTACCACTTTTTGCTTCTGCTTGCCTGTGAAAAGAAAAAGACACAGAAGAAGTCAGTCTACCTTTTCCCGCCTCGGTTAAGGTTGAAAATAGATACGAACCAGCAGAATATCATAATACACTGTCCCATGCTCACAAGAAGCTGCTTGTTCATTCTTTAGCCTTACGCAGGACAGTGATGAAGTAAAATCGGCCATTGATGAAATGCCTACGATTCCGTTTTTCGAGGAGATTCCTGTGACCCCACCCCCATCTTCCCAAGCCCCACCCCCCCAGACCACAGGCTCACCTGATGACATCACATCCCCCAAGCTGGAGGAGGAGCTTCCGCTGGACTTACTAAAGAGACGAGCGAACAAACAGAGACACAGAGAGCACAGTATTAGGGTGCCCCTCCAAACACAGTAGTGGGCTACTCTATAACTATCAACTATCCTAATTCTTAACATAATAACATAATATACCTAAAGATGGAATTTTGATCTTATTCTAACTACTTTGTAGATTTAGTGAACTATTTAATGCTCTACAGTGATACTGAAGAATAATTGAGGAATGGGCAGAAAAATTATCTTAATATTACAATAAATCTCAGCTAGACAAAGATAAGTGTTCTGTTAAAACCCCTTAAACTCTAAGAACCTGTCCATGGGATCCCTAAATTATTTTTTCAATAATTCATAGTATTTACTGGATAATAAGCCTTGAATGAATAAACTTAAAGTTTAAGGGGTCAAGATTATGGTTTCCTCTTACAATAGCTAACAAGCAAGCAATGAGTTATCTATGATCGAGTGAAGGTGTTATGAATTGATGTAAACCACATGCATCTTCTCCAAGTCTCTGTGTTTTTGATTCAAAATCCATTTTTGGGAACATGGTGAATGCTGCCATTATCCCAACTGGAAAGGCCCATTTTTTCCCCAATCATAAATGTTATATACAACATTCTGCTGAGCAGCCAAATCAGAATCAGTGATGCAATATGGAGAATGTAAATGATCTGTAATCAAGTAAGTGTCTTAAACTACAATTCCATTTCCAAAAAAGGGGCCGAAAGTTGGGATGATGTGCAGAACGTAAAAAAAAAGAAAATGCAATGATGTGCAAATCATTTAAATCCCTATATTTCATTGAAAATACTACAAAGACAACATATATGAAATGTTGAACCTGAGAAATTTTATTGTTTTTTGAAAAATAAATGCCCATTTTGAATTTGATGCCAACAACACGTTCCAAACAAGTTGGGACGTCATCACCTCTTCTTTTAACAACACTCTGTAAACGTTTGGGAATTGAGGAAATGCTGCTGTAGCTTCAAAAGTGAAATGTTTTCCTGTTCACACTAATGCACCCCTATACCATCATAAATACTGGCTTTAGAACTGTGCGCTGATAACAAGCTGAGTGGTCTTTAGCCTGGAGGACACAGTGTCCATGATTTCCAAAAAGAATTTCAAATGCTGATTGGTCGGACCACAGGACACTTTTCTACTTCCCCTCAGTCCATTTTAAATGAGCTCGGGCCCAGAGAAGGTGGCAGTGTTTCTGGGTCCCATTTATATTTGGTTTCTTCTTGCCGTTTTAGAGTTTTAACTTGCATTTGTCAATGCAGTGACGAATTGTTTTCAGAAATAGTGGTTTTCAGAAGTGTTTCTGAGCCCATGCAGTGATTTCCACTACAGAATTGTGTCTGTTTTTAAGGCAGATTTTTGAGGGCCCAAAAATCATTGCCAGCAAATACTGTTTTTTGGTCTTGCATAGGGAGGTTTCTCCAGATTCTCTGAAACATTTAATGACATTATGTACCGTAGACAATGAAATCCCAAGTTCTTTGCTATTTTACGTTGAGAAATGTTATTCTTGAATTGTTGCACTATTTGATAATGCAGTCTTTCACAGAGTGGTGAACCCCTCCTCATCTTTACTTCTGAAAGACGGGATGCTCATTGTATACCCAATCATGTTACTGACCTGTTGCCAATCAACCACCATATGTTTTTTTAGCATTACACAACTTTACCAGCCTTTTGTTGCCCCGTCCCAACTTGCTTGGAACATGTTGTTGGCATCAAATTCAAAATTGGCAAATATTTTTCTAAAAACAATTACATTTCTCAGTTTCAACATTTGATATGTTGTCTTTGTACTATTTCCAATGAAATAAAGGGTTTAAATGATTTGCACATCATTGCATTCTGAAATTATTTACGTTTTGCACAGCATCCCAACTTCTTTGGAAATGGGGTTGTATGTGCTTGAATTTCAACCTTTTCTATATGATGATGATGATGCTACCTGGCTGTGGTTTATTTCTGTCATTTATGCTTATACATTCTCTATATAACAATTTCTACTATATCTAAGTAGAGCATTTGATTTTCTGGCAACAAAGTAAGGAATGCAGTTTTAAATAACCAAGAAGAACTTCACATAGTCAAAAACTATGCACTAAAAAAAAAAGTCAGTCAAACAAAGCTGAAAATACAATGAACAAAAACATGAAAATGACCAAATTTGCTGAGTGACAGTTAGTAAAGTACATCAAGGCAAAATTCCACAAGATTTTGTAACAATACAAGAATTGTACAAAGGTAGCCGGATTCCACAAGTACATTTTCTGCAAGCCCCCCGCCCCCTCTCCCCCCAAAATGGAAAACCAAATGCTCTAATTCAATACTTAACTTAACAGGCAGGCACTGTCCTACAGCTGCTTACCCTTGAACACGGCTCTTCTTCTGCTCCAGTTGGGCTCTGATGTTCTCCAGCTTCAGAGGGCTGGGGATGAAGCCAATCTCACAGCCCTCCTTCACCAGTCGCCCGATCCACCAGTCATTGTTGAACTTCTGCAGTTGATCATCATAAGGGAACAAAGAAAGGATGTACTTTGGAAACTACCTTGGGTGGGTTCATCTATATTTAGTGTGGCTAAGCTTTATATATCTTACCACTCTATTCTCTTGATTTCAGACTTGATGACCTTTACAAGTGAATTACAACTGGGCTATTTATTTATTTATTTCCTCTGCTTGTGTAGGTTTGCTGCTTGCTTATAGTACAAACACTTCACAGCCACTGCTTTGTGGTGTTGGTTACAGACACAACAAAGTCCAAGAGCACCGAACAGCACATTACTGACTGTTTCTTTCACTTGCAATACCCAAGAAATGTTTCCAAGGTACTAATATTGTGACAAATGGGACACAGGGCAATTCTACCTCTTTGATATGCAGGAAGTCCTTAGCATCAAATGAGATGGCCGTTCCTGGCACAGGCACATCCTCGTCCAGCGCTCCACAATAACTGACATTCGTCTTCACGGCAAAGGCCACTGCTTTGGCCTGTTAACCGACAGAGAGCCATCGACACAGTGAACACTTAATAAAGTAAGGGAAGAGCCAAACAACCATGATAAACACACCATATCTATTTGTTAATCTGTGTGTTGACTATAATTCAGCCTCCTGTCACTGTGACATTTAACACATTTAATGCTGCTTAATATATCGCATGATAATCATTACTTTGATAATGGACTGATTTCGCAGAAAGCTGCAATACGCTAATATGCCCTCTAACAGCCTTAGATGAGTGTCTCTGTGGGTGTTTTGGTAAATCACGGCTTTCACATGACCCACCTAAAATGATTCTGGTCAAAATAATGCAGGGTCATCTTCAATCATGGAATATGAACATTAAAAGTGTATTTTAATACACTGAATTTGAAACATCTGAACAATTTGAACATTTGAACAATACAAACCAGTTCACCTTTATGGTCATTTACCTGTTAGCATTCATTAAATCTATCATATAAGTACAGGCTGCTCTAACCTTGGCCCTTTCCAGCTGCACAGCGGCCTGCTGCTCTCGCTCCTGCCGGCCCTGGCTCCCACCCTCCTGCCTCTCCTCCTCCAACGACACATCCGAGTCGGATGGCCTGCTAGTGTAGGAATCAGCTGAACCCTGGAAGGAGAGAGCATCCAGCAGCGAATTACTTACACATTCAAATCAAAATCAAATCAGCTTTATTGTCACATCAAATTTACACAGGTGCGAAGGTGAGTGAAAATCTTAGGTGCGTAGTCCTGTTGTAGAACTTACAAAAAAATACAAAATATATATATATATATATATATATATATATATATATAAGAAAGAAAAATATATATACACGTTAGACTCTAAATATATACACATATACACATTCATATACACCAATGTTGCACTATTTCCAATGTACACTAACAATAAAATACATCGATCAGGCATAACATTATGACCACCTCCTTGTTTCTACGCTCATTGTCCATTTTAGCAGCTCCACTTACTGTATAGGTGCACTTTGTAGTTCTACAGTTACAGACTGTAGTCCATCTGTTTCTCTGCATACTTTGTTTGCCCCCTTTTACCCTGTTCTTCAGTGGTCAGGACCCCCATGGACCCTCACAGAGCAGGTACTATTTGGGTGGTGGATCATTCTCAGCACTGCAGTAACACTGACGTGGTGGTGGTGTGTTAGCGTGCGTTGTGCTGGTCTGAGTGGATCAGACACAGCAGTGCTGCTGGAGTTTTTAAACACTGTGTCCACTCACTGTCCACTCTGTTAGATACTCCTACCTTGTCAGTCCACCTTGTAGATGTAAAGTCAGAGACGATAGCTCATCTGCTGCTGCACAGTTTGTGTTGGTCATCCTCTAGTCCTTCATAAGTGGTCACAGGGCACTGCCCACAGGATGCTGTTGGCTGGATATTTTTGGTTGGTGGACTATTCTCAGTCCAGCAGTGACACTGAGGTGTTTAAAAACTCCAGCAGCACTGCTGTGTCTGATGCACTCAGACCAGCGCAACACACAATAACACACCACCACCACATCAGTGTTACTGCAGTGCTGAGAATGATCCACCACCCAAATAGTACCTGCTCTGTGAGGGTCCATGGGGGTCCTGACCACTGAAGAACAGGGTAAAAGGGGGCTAACAAGGTATGTAGAGAAACAGATGGACTACAGTCTGTAACTGTAGAACTACAAAGTGCACCTATATAGTAAGCGGAGCTGATAAAATGGGCGTAGAAACAAGGAGGTGGTCATAATGTTATGCCTGATCAGTTATGAAATAAAAAGCTATGATATGTTATGATATTCATGCAGTTTACAGAAAGAGATTTAATTGTGCTTTTTGGAAGAGGATATTCAGCTTCTACCTTTAACCCCTCTTAACTGTCACATCAAGAAGCACATGTGTACATACAATAAGAAGAGGTGAAAAGCAGCTGTTTAGTGTTTCTAGGTCCTTTTTCCAGGACTTGTACTTTTGTGGATAGTTTCAAATGATGGCACTTTGCATAAGAAAAATCTGAATCCATTATTTTACTTCCTTCGAACTGAGGCAATCCCAGTTACATCAACACCATAAGTATGAAATAACAATTCTGTGGAACCCGATAAGTTTATCAGTCATCATATCTGTTCCACAAAGCTCAGGGCCCAATCCTGCAGTGTTTCACAATACATAATACAGAATTGAGGCTGTATAGATACTCTGAAGTTATGGTTCAGTAAGTTAAAGAAATAACTGCACCCACTGTCGGCCAAAAAAATATTCATAAATGCTATTTGAGCACCTATTTTTCGCTCCTGCTACAGAGGTTTTCTGAAGAGTAGTTTCTTTTACTTCCACTGATTTCTTTTCTGAAATAACAGCACTCCTTCTTTGGTATGGTTCTGTTTTCTTCCCAACACTGACAGCAGCAAAAACAGCATCGTCCTGAAAAATATCACTCTCCCAGATCCACTAAATCAGAACTTAAGCTTCTAAGCATACTGAAGGAATAACAAGCAAAACATTCAACACCTGTAATCGAGTCAACTCTGTCAAAAATCTGTCAACTCATACCAGGCGAAGTCCTTAAACCAGCAAAATTATATAAATTCATATTAAAATGCAAATACAAACTTTTTCCCTCTGAAAACATTTTCCCCAGTATTCTGTGTTTTATTTTTTCCTCTAAAGCAAATACTACAAAAGTACTATCTTGTCAAGCATTGGGTGGAGCATCAAATGAGACTGCAAAATTGCTTTTAGAAACTCTAATATGGTAAGACCTGATAAGAAACAAAACTAATGTAATTTTGTAACTATAAAACTATCATCGCTATCCACTGCAGTTAAGCGTAGAACACAGTAGTAGTACAGTGTAGAAACACAGGCAACTGACTGCTAACTATCAAGCTACTAGTTAAATAATAAAAAAAATCAGTGACTGAAAAAAATCTGTAATTCACACAAGTATGTGATGTTTATAGGAGTTATGAGAGTAACTTTTTGTGCCGCATGTTACTTTAGAAGCATGTATTTGAAGTTAAAAAAAACAAAGTAATGCCACTTCAGATGTTTTTTCATGACCTTTTACCACTCCCTTTATGCATGACTAATATATTATAAAATTTCCAAATAAACAGATGAGACATTTTCACAGACAACACCTTTAACATTTATCATTTATTTTACTCTCAAATACAGGGCGATTCTAAAAGATTCATCCGATTTCAAAGTGCCATATTTTTACAACCGTGAGGCGACTAGAAACCAATCACATATCAACTGAAAGAGGGGGTCATAGAGTTTCTGACCGTCGGTCTGGCAGTGAACCTCCAACAGCTCAGAGCATTGGTCGTTGGTTCCAACAGTTCCAAGAAAAAGGTCACCAGCATCACCTTTTTTTGTGGGGGTACGTTAAGGATTCTATTTATGTGCCGCCACTTCCAACAAAACTAGACAGTCTCCAAAATCGCATTGAAGGAGCCGTGAGTGCAGCGACACCGAACATGCTCAATCGAGTCTGGGATGAATTTGACTATGGAGTTGATGTCGTCCGTACAGCTAGAGGAGGTTCATACTGAGCACTTGTACAATTACATAATAAACTTTATGCTCACTTACACCATTTACAGTTTACTGCATTGTTTTGTAATGATTTACTAGTGATATAAATCATTTTGATATCGGATGAAACTTTTTGAACCACCCTGTACTTCTACCTCTTTGGATTTCCATTGAAACAGAGCACTTCATGGCGACTTTCTTCACCTCTAAACTCTCTTTCACATGGCAGTAAAGCAGCAATAGCATCCACAGTACTATCCTACTACAACACATGCAGTACCTTTTCAGGACAATGAAAGACCTCACAATACAAAATCTGAACATTTTCGTCTGAGATTTCCATCAGGTCTTCAGAAAGCTCCATCATCACCACTGAAGAGGCAAAGATGAGATGGACTGTATCTCAATTAAAACTCAACACCAGATGTCCCAACCATTTGGTCCTACTAAGATAATGAAGGATATCCCAGCAGCAAGCGCTCCAGTCCCCGATTAATATGAGCTGCTCCTCCAAGTGAGGTATAGTGAGGGAGTTTGGTTGTGATAATCCAGTTGGGAAACAACATTAGCTCAAGTCGGTGAAAGAAGCGATCGGGTCAATATCGCATTAGGGAGAGAGAGAAAGCCTTGCAGTCGTCTAAAAAAAAAGAAAAAAAAGGAAAAAACACTCCAACATGCTGCCTATGGCAAAGCACTTTTTTCCCTATTGCAGCAGCAGCCGCTCCACTCAGGCTTACTTCAGCACGGACCCAATTGAGTCCAGTGAGTCCAATCACAAAACGCCTGATTCGGGAAACAAGAAATGCACAAGTATGCTTATCTTCCCCCCCTAGAAGTGATGATTCTGGGGAAAAAACTGGAATTCAAATGAACGCCTTTCATCTTCGATTCTGATGAGATAACAGTGTTTTGCTGAAAAATGACTTCTTAGGGTCAGTGCAAAAACTTCTCAATGAGAAGTCCCTCCACTATTATTGGGAGCAGGATGGAAAAGTATTTAAAAATATAGAAGTTTAATTAATGCATGTCTTTCATGTCGCTGTTCTTGGAACAAAACCTTGTATCTCTAAAACAGTATCTTTATAGGAGAAGGAAAAAACCTACTTTACTTTTAATGTAAGTCAATGGAACCAGAATTTTTTCCAAGTCATTTTGGGCTGTTTCTTTTGGTCCATTCTTAATGAGATTTACATACAATGTAAAGGGCAACAGGCATTTTCAAATTATGTCAAAAACTGAAAAACGACAAAAATGAAGATACAAGGTTTTCTTCCAACAGCGCTTGTGCTTCACACAAGTAGGTACTACTTAGTTCCACTGTTTTACTTTCTTTTGTGAATGTAAAAATGATGGATATATTTAAGAAGAAAACATATGATGAAAACAGGCATAACAAGGCTGCTCATTACTATTTATTACTATACTAGCAATGTGCTAGTTTGGTCTTCTAAAATATTTCCCTCTAAGTGTTCCTTGAAGAAGCTACAAAAAACAGCCAATCTTAAGCTGTTTCTACCAGTTCAGACAAGTCAGCTTAAAAAAAATGGATATAAAGTTGATTAACTAGAAAGTAGAAGTTATGAAGAAAGCACTGTCATCATTTATTAGTTCAGAATATCCCAAAATAATGAATTAATGAACTTGCAGGCCACAAACGACTTTTGAATCACATCATTCTGTTAATAAACTCGGACAGAGCCACGGCATTGTTTTGGTAACTACAGGATGGACCTTTAAACTGGAAAAAGATGATTCAGACTCATATCAGAATTGGATGTTGAGAAGTATATAACTGCCAGTTTCTTAACTCAAGTCATCTCTGAGCAGACATGCCATGAATTTGACAATATGTTCAAAGCCAATGTACAAACAATTAACCATAAAGACATAAACGCTATCTTTCCTTCTACCTCTCAAACATAGGGGCTCACACATGGATGCACACTGAGACGTATGCACACGTGCACACATATGACAGCACACGCAGGTTACTACACACATGAATGCGAACTCATGCGTGTGCGATAAAATCAGACGGCGTGAAAGAGCAAAGAAAAGCAACAAAAGTCCATTTGGACAGCTACCCTAAATTACACATCTCTCCCATCCTGACAACCCACTGGATCAGCACAGGAAACATTATATCACACCATGTGTGACACGAGCGTACGCTCACGCAGAGGCTGCTGGCTCTATCTGTCCCTCCTCACGACATTCAAGTGGGCCACCTAAACCATGTGACTCATTACATTCTACACATCATCACCGAACCTGCCTGGCTGGCTAGCGAAACCATTATTGAGACGCTGGCCCTTTAACACTGCCAGCGTAAATGCAGCTCTCTGTTGCCAGAGCCTATATCATGATATATAATGGAAGCTCTAGCTTAAAGGGCCGTCAGGAACACCTTCCCGACACTTTTATTCAGTATCTCTGTGATGCAGAACGCTTCGCTGTAGACAGATTCATGTGAGGCTCCAAAGCCATTTTTTCCAAAAAGAAGCACTTCACTCAACATCTATGTGGTCTCTCGGAAAGGTTAGCGTTGTGTGCTCTGGATAAATACACATGTATAAACACACACAAGGCTCTGCCGAATGTGTCCCTACAGTACACCCACAGTGATCGTTCTGCTGCATCTCTGAACGTTACGGTGAATCTCCCAGGCCCTGTGTGTGTGTGTATGTGTGTGTGTAGCACAGAAGAGCCAGTGCTCATCATATACATACACACAGAGACAGCAAGGAAAAGGAAGAAAGAAAAAGAGAGAGGAAAAAAAACAAAAGCGCTCACACTCACCGCCTCCGAGTCTTCAAATCCATGCAGGTACAAATTGTCATACATGGAGGTTTGCTATTCCAGAGAGCTTCTCTTCAAGAACAGAAAAAAGATGAGAGAGAGAGAGAGAGAGGAGGAGGAGGTGTAGAGGAAGAGAGGGGGGAGGAGGGAGCCACCACCACTGAGGAAAAAAAAAAAGGATCGATGGGGGGGATGACGATCCTCTCCCTCACCAGAGGAAGAGGGGGGGAAAGAAAAGCAGCAAGAGATGCCTATCGGAGAGCACGAGCAAGAGAGGGAGAGAGAGAAAGGGATGGAGAGAAGGAGAAAAAGAGGAAGAGAGGAGTAAGGCAGGCCTGTGCAGAAGGCTCGGCCTGCAGGTTGGAGCAGATCCCTCGTTCAGCCTCCGATTCTTTCACATCCTCAGGCTGGGAGAAGCTCCCCGGAGGCTGCTTGACGCTGGCATTTCATCATCCCTCAACACACGCACACACGCGCGTACGGCACGGCTCCACGCACCGGAGAGAGAGAGAGAACGAGAGGTAGAGGGGGACAGATAGAGGAAGAGAGGGAGAGAGAAAAGGTATAGAGAGAAAGAGAGAACCCTTCCTCAATCTCAGCCTGATGACACACTTGGCTAGCTTGCCACTGATTGGCCGAGCCGGCTCCCAGTCAGCGCTGGTGCTGACGTGCGTTCTTCTTGGCTGGGAGCGTTAGATATTCCCCCCACCGCTGCGCTCCCCCCTGTACCCTGATGTGATTCGAATGTACAGTAATACACCTCGTTCTCTCATTGCATTCATTCTCATCTCTCTGTCTGCATGGACCCCTCAGTGAAATCCATCAGTTCGCTCAGTGCTGTTATTTATGCACGGAGCGTATTGTTCTATAATTAGATTTGCCAAAAATAATACCGATGACAGCATTCACTATGCCAAATATGTACTATGCACCTAACTGCTCACATATGCAAAGAAAAACAGGAAAATCAATCAAATAAATACAATATACATATATTGAGTAGCCTATTTTATATATATATATATTTTGCTGTTGTCAGAAGAAAACCTCATATCTCCAAAATGATAACTTTACAGGAGAAGGAATAAACCTACTTAACTTTCAATGTAAGTCTATGGAACCAGACACTTTTTCATGTTGTTTTGGGTCGTTTCTTTTGGTCCATTCATCATAAAATTTACACACAATGTAAAAGACAACAGGCTTTTTAAAATTATGTCAAAAAACTGAAAAATGGAGATACAAGGTTTTCTTCCGACAGCAGCGACCTCTGTTTTTGGAACAAAACCTTGTATCTTTACAGGAGAAGGAAAATACCTACCTTACTTTTAATGTAAGTCAATGGAACCAGATTTTTTTCCAAGTCATTTTAGGTCATTTCTTTTAGTCCATTTATAAAGCACAACAGGTATTTTCATATTATGTCATAAACTGAAAAACGTATATATATATATATATATATATATATATATATATGTGTGTGTGTGTGTGTTAAAGTAGGCAACATATTAAAAGGGCAACATGATTTTTTTGGTATAAATATGACTAAATTGTTTAATTTATTTTTATATTCAACAGCAAATATAAAATATGTCAAATATCTAAAAAAATATGCCACCATAATTCCTCTGTTTATTCCTAATGGGCTTTGCTGCTCAGTTCAAGTGCTACACAGACCAAATGCTCAGTGATCACACAAGTTTAAAACACCCACAAGATGTTAAGCTTGCAAGAATGACAGTAACAGACTGTGGAAACAACAGCTTCATACTTTTTAGCTTTTTAATTCAACATAAGGGACCAAAAAAGAAAGAGAATCATGTGTGCTACACTCTGTCTGTCACGGTGAACACACAGTCACAGCACCGAACAAGCAATTAATCAATAGCACCCCACAAAAGCTCAGATAGAACACTCTGATTTAGGTTAGTTCTGACCTGGGTCGAGCTACCCAGAATGACTGCTAAAACTGTGATAACTGTACTCTGCAAATTCTCGATTCACTTTCAGCTCAAAAGAGCTACAACTGCAGCCAAAAATGCTCTGGGTTGCCGCTGTTATTATGAGTCCAGCACTTATTATTCATATATATGAAGACAGAAAAAAAACAAAAGATAAACAGAGAGGACTGAGCAGCAGTGCAGAGTAACTGGGCTCACCTGTCTGAGGATAAAGCTGGTAGAAGTGGTGCTGCCATCCGAGCGTTTCAGTCGGCTCCGTCTTGAGTATGTTCCTCTGTTCACCTGCAGGGGCAGCAAAGAGCAGCTCAGCTTAATCACCAGTGGACTGATGTTTTAATATTCGGGAATGATGGGAAAGAGAAGAGTCTGAGATATGAATAAAAATTTAACAAGGTTGTTTATGCAGAACAAGTGATGTTAGATTTGAAATGACTTTACCATATTATAATAAAAAAAATACCCAGAATGTGACCAAACTGTGATGAAGTAAAATGTCACAGAGGCCACATTTTCACAGAGTTCTTATGCTGCATATTATATATCTGTCCATCAACTGATGTGGTTTCTGACTGAGGCCTTAATACACCCCTCGCTACTAAATATTCGTTTTTTTTTCAGTGTAATCAATCAAACAATCTAATTATAGAGACTCATTTCTAATAAGTAGTATTATCAATAATAAGCAATATTATCATGATACTTGAGTGAAAAATAAAATTGCATTGCAATTTTTAAATATATATATATATATATTTTCTAAATACAAATATAGAAAACAGTTTAGAAGATGTGTGTGCGTGTGTGTATATATATATATATATATATATATATATATATATATGTATATATATATTAAGATGTTTTACTTTTGACTGTAAATTGTGCCTCTAAATTAAAGTGTTCTCATTTTAATATAATATAGATTAAATTATATCTCATTCCAATAGGTTTTACTGAAACAAAACACAATTCTGAAGAAGACAAAGCCATATTCAAGATGCTTTTATCCAGAGTTTACAATTTACAATGGCATGACAGTGTAGAATTAGAAGTTTTGCCCAGTGACTCACAGTCATGTAATACTACTTCCTGGCCTCATGTTTGTATTAGGGCGGCACGGTGGCGCAGTGGGTAGCGCTGTCGCCTCACAGCAAGAATGGCCTGGATTCGATTCCCGGCCGGGCGACCAGGGTCATTTCTGTGTCTGCGTGGGTTTCCTCCGGGTACTCCGGTTTCCTCCCACAGTCCAAAAACAAGCAGTCAGGCTGATTGGACGTGCTAAATTGTCCCTAGGTGTGTGTGTGTGTGTGATTGTATATGTCTGTCTGTCTGCCCTGTGATGGACTGGCGACCTGTCCAGGGTGTATCCTGCCTTCTGCCCAATGACAGCTGGGATAGGCTCCAGCTCCCCACTGCGACCCAGAAGGATAAGCGGTTTAGATGATGTATATTTGTAAGCAGTGGTGTTTACCACTACACTATCCAAACACTCCTACTAAGGACACCACTGGGAAGCCTCATTCTCACCAGAAAGAAAGAAAGAAAAATGAGAGAAAAAATTTCTTATTTCTTATCTTTTGAACAAACAGTGTAAGTCCAATCGCACCTTTTGCTGTCACTTTACAATTTCACTGTATATACACTACACTTTCCACTCGCGACTGGTGGGCGTTTCTGTTATGGAAAAGAGGAAAAAGGAAAAGGAATCATTCTGAACATACCCAGCAAAGTAAACAATCTGATGCTGTTCGGTATTTATTTTCTTTACTACATCAAGGCTCACAATAAAAAAAATGTGACTTTTTGTACTTTTTTAATTTTCATAGTGCGCATCAGTCGTAACAATATGCAAATTTCACAGTACTAAATGTAGTATCTTTATTGCATCACAGTGCAACAAAAGTTTGATTTAGCATTAAAAAAGGGAATGATAACATATCTTTAGCACTTTTTTATTTTTTATTTTTGGGTAATTCTCAAAAGTTTTTTCAGTGCTTGTTGAAGTGACGACTGGAACAAGTTACATAAAATAAATTAATATAAACAGAAGTTCATGGTCTATATTACGTGGTGCAGATGTGTGTTTGGGAAATATTTATTATTATGGCTCATTATAATAAAGGTAAACAAAAAATGTTTAGACTGTAAGGCTACATCTAAAAAATTAAATAAACTGAGAATCAAAAGTGTTCTCGGCACAAAGCTGAAGCCGGCTTCCTTTTCACTAACTTCTACAAATTTTGCGTTCCACTGTAAATTGAACAGCAGTTGCAAGGATATAACGGCTGATTCATTTCAGGTAGAAAGGAAAATTCGAATAAGAAGCTGATGAATAAGAAGCAAACTTCAGCACTGTGTTTTTTCTTGCTCTGGTAACTGACACATTTGAGAGATGTCTTAACAAATAAATTACCATAGCTGAAGTATTAGCACAGCTATTTGATAGTAGCGTTGAGCAATATCGGCATCGTTCGATCTACCAAGCTTAGTTTCTTTGCTCCCATTTCAAACAGCTTGGCTAATTAACCAATAGCATAGTGCAGGGGTTCTCAACCTTTCCCACCTCAAGGCCCACCTGGTTATCACTAGAAAGCATCAAGGCCCGCAAGAAAAACAAGACTCAATGCTTTTGCTTAAAAATGTAATTTTTGGGAAATTTTCAACACAGTGATATTAAGAGGGGCTACTCTTGCGATATGTTATGTGTATTAGTGAACGTGAAATATCAGCAGAATATTGGTGCGAGTGGCCACTAAAAGGACAAGTGTTTTGAGAGGCAAAGGACAAATAAATTGACGAAGACGCCTTTGTGCGCTGTTATTGTGGGGCATGTATTAATGTTGTTAACTGTCTGAAAACATTTTATATTTCTTTTTTATTGTTGTATAAGTCAATTATTTTTTTCACTGTTTTTTATGACAAAGTGCCATCATAGGCCCACTACGGACCACTGGACCCTCTCAGTATAGGTCCAAGGACCACCAAGGGGTGCTTTGTGGCCCCTTAAATGGCCAGAGCCTAACAGTGTGCCCAAAGTTTTATGACACACTTCTATAACCCAAAAATAGCTCAGCCAGTTTGCACTGAAGTCCCTGTAGTTACTGAAGTCTTCCTCCAAATCTTCATGGTCAACAGTGATGCATAAAACCAGGACTTTTCACCGTTATCCAAATCTGTCGTGGCTTGAATGAAGAGAGAGACAGGTGTTGCTGCCTTTCTCTTTCTTTGGAGAGAGTTTAATGTTTGTGAAAGAGCAATCGATCCTTGCCCAGTTGGCTAAATGCAATGTGGCTGCTAGACTCATTTGCATGTAGTTGAAATCTGATGAACTTTTCCACTTTCACAGAGTGGCAAAGCTAATTTTGCCACAAGTGGACATGCACCATAAGAGAACAATGCACTGTGGCATCCCATTAGTCTGAAATGGGCTTGAACCTTTAAAAGGCCTCCTATTCCTTATTCCTAGAAAGTAAGAACTAAGACAGTCTGCACTGCTTTCTATGTAATTACTAAATGATAAGCCTTAACACTTATTAAAGATTTGAATTTAAGGAATAAATACATATAATTATATATAACAAGCTTAATTAATAATTAAATAATA